TTGGTCATTTTACATAATACTGCAATAAACTTTCTGGGTACTTGCACACATCATGGAAAAAAACCTCTCTGCGGGAATACGTTTTGACCAACTCTGTCTCTATCTTGTAAGAGATAGTAGTTACATAGCAATAACTATGGTGGGTAGATTCCTATGTGTAGATAAATTGCAGATTTACCTGGGGTGAAATAATGTACATTCAATGGAAATAATTAGTCATTGCTAATTAGGATGAGTGCATGCCTCTCATCCTTAAATAAACTTTTAAATAGCTAAATTGTGCCTGTTTCTCTCAGCTCCCTCTGAGAGGGATCCCAGTATAAGTCACATATAGTATGTATATAAATCATGCCTATCCTATGTGTATGTAGCAAGGGGTTAAGAAGATTTACCCTCTTCTCCCCAGCTAAAATTTTGCCATGGTAAAGATTGCCCATTTCCTTCTTCTATTTGTTTTCTTGTTTTGGCTATTTTTCAAGCCATGCTAATACTTTGCTTTTCACTTTAGTAATTTCTAAAATACTCATCAAAGGCCTTTCAAAAGGCTAACCAGTGCCCCCTACTATCCTTTATCTAATGATTTAATGAGCCCTTCAAATAATGCCAGTTAGGGCACAGCTGCAGTGTGCACTGCAGGGCAACGTAGAGATACTGAGCTATTCCTGAACAAACTTGCTGCTTGGCATCCTTGCATCAGGGTATCCCATGCAGAGAGTTCAGTGGGACACAACATCCTTTTTATAAACAGACATTGCTTTGGCCCTATCTTAGGTTTCCAGTTCTTCTAATATTCTGTTTTCTAAAGCTCATTTACCACGGTTATGCCAGACTACCTTGCAAAGCTCTTTTACCCACAGTTTGGTTCAAGCCCAAGAGTAGCAAGGTCCCTGCTCTTTCTCTCCACTCAGAGCCCTAGGTGCTGGCATCATTCTGCCTGTATGATGGGAAAAAGAGACTTGTAATGTTTAATGTCCAGAAAAAAATAGCTTGCTTAATCTTTGCTTTGCAAATAAATCTTATTTGCTCTGTTTAATATTTACCAGTGGACATTAACTTAATACTACCCAGCAAAATGAAGAATAGGGAAGAAGCTCTGTGAAAGAGAGGTCCAGTACTGTAAGTACCATATTATACTTTCTTAGAAGTCTTTGAATTCGTGTTGTCTATAATCTTTACCATTTATTGCACAATATTTAATTCTGAGATGAATTTATTTTGTACAGTAATTGCAAATTATTTTAGCTTCTGGAAGCATGTTCTAAATGTTGGAAGCAGGATTCAGTCAGTGATCCAGCTCCTACCTATAATGGCGGGATGACTGGGAGATGAGGTCCAAAATGAGTACTCAACAGTCAACACCAAAGTGAAGAAAAAAACCTAGTCTCTGCTCCCAGAGGAGTAAATTTAGTTGCAATCTCAATGTCCTGACTACTCCAGGCTGATGCTGGGCTAATGAGAGTAACGTCCCTGTACCTCCAGTGTGCTTAAAGACCAGGCTACTTGCAGCCAAGTGGCCTGGAAGAGAAATTAGTCTCTCTCAAAAGCAGATCTGGGGAATTATGAAAAGAGTACTTACCAGACCAAAATGAATTACCTCCATTTAGAATGCCTTTTTTTTTCAGTCGATGTTTTTATCCAGAATTTTAGAGATGCTCAGCACAGCTCCCATACTCAGCACTTCCACAGCTTATATCTCCAGTGTTTCATACTGGGCAGCCAGAAAAGGGGGAACCCAGAATTAACAAATCCTCAGAAAAGTTTGGTGTAAGACCTAAAGCTGCCATTAGACACACAGCCTGAGCAGACCCTACGGCAGATCCCATGCTCCGGAATAAGTATACAGCTGCTATGAACAACGTTCAAATCATCTCTATTTTCCTGCAGGCCACTGCCTACTTCATGTTTTTGAGTTTCTGTCATTTGAGATAATTTAGGTGAGGCACCCTATGGCGAACATTCTTCCCCAAAATATTTCATGGTTCTTCCCCTGAAAAGGGCAGAAGAGAGACTGTGGGATTATGTAGAATTTGCTTATGTCAATTAAAGGAAGAGGAAAGGTCATCGAATTGCACATACACAGCAAGGCAGATTCCACTATAGCTTTTCCTAAGCTCTTGAGTCTTGGGCTTTGCAACCTTATGGATAGTTTATGCATGTTACTGAGAGTCAATAAACTTTCTCAATTTATCCTCAATTTCCTGAAACATTTAACGTAATGTTTTGAAATAATATAGTTCTTGAGTTCAGAGCTGCTACACAAGAGGCAGAAAGATATAAACACTTTATATCATTTAGATGGCTTTTATTCACAGCTATAACTGACATTATCTCTGTATCACTGCAGTGCTTGAAAACCCAAGTCATAACAAGACCATGGGTACTATAGAAACATATCGGCAAAAGACGGTCCCTCTGCCAAAGTACTTACCAAATACATGGGGGCCAATAGGTGAACTCAGCCGTGCATCCAAAGCCACCTAGGAGTCCAATGAGGCCATGCTGGTCATAGGCAAGAACTATTTCAGACATAATGCCTCACAAAAGCCTACAGAACATAATTATTTCCTGGAGATGTCATATTAATATCTTCCTTCCTTTGCTCATTGGTTGGAAACTGACAGAACTGACTAGAAATAGACTATCCAGGAAAGCAAGTAGAAGAGTATTTCTAAATAGAGCAGTAATCCTGAAGAATGACATCTGAAAATCAGTATCTAGAATACAAAAACTATTTTTATGCAGGAAAGATAAAATTCTCTAGATCTAAAAGTTGCTCTATTCTTTCTTAACAGAACTGTTCAGAAAGCAAATGAAGTCTACATTGTATTTGTGTTTGTTGTTTCTTGGACTTCAAGTCCACGGTCAACTTAAGTCCAACCTCAATGATGGACAGCAGGAACAAAAAATACCCCATTCCCCAGAAGACTATTCCCCAGCTGAAGGTGAAAACTTGGCTCATGGCAAGATAGCCCCCAGCAATGCTGACTTCGCATTTAGGTTTTACAAGCAGGTCAGAGAGGAGGCGGGCAACAAGAACATTTTCTTCTCTCCTTTGAGCATCTCCACTGCCTTTGCAATGCTCTCCCTGGGGGCCAGATCAAACACACTCCGTCAGTTGCACAAAGGCCTTGCCTTCAACCTGACAGAGATGGAGGCGCAGGAGATCCATGAGGGATTTCAGCGTGTCCTCCTGCTGCTGAACGACCCTCACCGAGAAGTCCAGTTGAGCATGGGCAATGCCCTGTTCATAGACGATCGACTGAAACTGCTCCAAAAATTTTTGAATGATGTCACAAATTTTTATTATTCTGAAGCTATTTCTAGTAACTTCCAGAATTCTCCAGAGGCTATAAAGGAAATCAATAACTACATAGAAACAAAAACCCATGGGAAAATTGTTGATTTACTCAAGAGTCTTGATCCAGACACCATGATGGTTCTGGTTAACTACATTTTCTTTAAAGGTGAGTGACAAACATGGGTAGCAGTTATGCATAAGCCCTGGAAGTCTTATCCAGATCTAAGAAATGTGGTGTTTTTCACACTGTGAACCTATTCTATCATCTAATTTAAAATACGTCTTTCTACTTTTAAATGACATAAGGAAATATTTGAAAGCCAAGTATGAAGAATCATTTTCTATGAGAGTAAAAAAAAAGAAAGAAAAAAAAAGAACCTGTAGAAGTACTGATCAATGTCATATCAATTTTAAGCCAGGTTCAGAGCTGAAAATATTCAGAAGGGATGAGCTTGGGAACTTATAATCATTTGTTGAAAGGCACAGGTGTTTGGCTGTGCAGGACATGGTCAAACATGGATGACACTTGTATGAAAGGAATAAGCCTGGAGCCTGTATACTGGGAGTGGAAGTTTTACCATTGCCTTAGCAGGCAAAGGCTCAGGTCTTTTCCACGGCAACCCTCAGCCTATATTTTTACTGTGTGATTTTTATTAGAAACATTGAAATGATGTAAAGCTTCTTTTTATGGCCAGGGAACAAGCATCCTTAAACTGAGATAGGCTTCTTGTTGCCTTTACGGTTCAAAAATAGTATTTAAGCATCAACTAATGTGACATGCCTTTATTAGTCTCTTTTTCAGTTTATTCAATTCTATACTCATTCTTTTATCAAAAGGCTACTGGGAAAATCCTTTCAGTAATTTGACCACCAGGGACGATGACTTCTTGTTGGATGTCAAGAATTCTGTTAAGGTCAAAATGATGCATCAAAACAAAGCCTTTAATATCCATAGGGATGAGAAGTTGTCTTGCTGGGTAGTAGAAGTCCCATACAAAGGAAATGCTGCTGCATTGTTTGTTCTGCCTGATGAAGGGACAATGAAGCAGGTGGAGGATGCTCTGCTAAAAGAAACAGTGTCTAACTGGATGCAATCACTTGAAAAAAGGTAATCTTTTAACTGCTGCTTTGTTTAAATATCAAAAAGGCCATAACTACTCATCCAGGCAAAGTAAAGATTAGGATGCCACAATGAGTTGCTAAGCACAGCTCTGAGGAACAAGCATTACATAGTTTCTTTAAATCACATAAGGTATCGGGCAATTTTGTACCTAAGGGGAACCCTATCCTCAGCTCCCCCAGTCACAACAGTGGGAGTGCTACCAGCTGTGAGGATCCTGCACACGGGTACACTGCCCTCAGGAGCCTGCCTTGAGTAGGAAGAATCCAGTTCAAAAGAAAATACAATTTCTTTTTCTTCAGTCTGGATGATACTTTCTAACCAGTCACTTTCATAAACCAGCACTGTGACCCTGCACCACTGATCAGGCTGTGGCTAGTGGGACAGGTACCTCAATTTCTGCTTTTCTAACATGGGATTTATCACTGTCTTAGAAAGCCAAGCCTTAGCTCCACAGGTATTTGGGATGGGTGTATACCTGCAACAGCTATTGCATTGAGGGATCTTGCAATAATAAACTCACATTTTTTGTTTCTTTTTGAAAAGAAAAATCTACCTGGACCTTCCAAAATTCTCCATCTCTGGCTCCTATGATGTTAAGAGCCTGTTTGAGAAAATGGGTGTGACAGAGGTGTTCAGTGACCAGGCTGATCTCTCTGGAGTGGCAGATAAAACTCTTCTGAAGGTTTCCAAAGTAAGTATGCAAACAGAGATGGTAATCAAGAGATTTGTCTGCCTTTCTTACACGCAGGTTTTATCTCCGCAAATAGGCTGATCCCACTTCTGGAGTATAGTCATGGCTCATTGATGGTAATAAAGGAAGGAGAAGGTTAGGGATTAAATGGCTGTTGTTCCTACAGTTTAATATTAAATTGTTTACTGCACAGTGATCCTGCAAATTCACTTGAAAGTCTCTTAAGAAGAAAACAGATCTGGAGAGAATGACAGGAATAATTTCACAAAAAGCTGGTGTAAGATAATTAATCCATGACAAGAGTCATAGTTATGACATAAGTTTGGGAATAGTCATTCTTATCCTATGTACACACCTTTCATTACTGCATTATCTGAGCACCTCAGAATTTATATGGACAATGGACTTGTGGGACAAGGATAGCCCCGTTTCACAAACAAGAAACTGGCATACAGGCAAGTAAAGCCATTTCACTAGTGTCCCAGGGAATATATGCCTTGTGACATGAGGGAAATGATCCCTCCCTTCTATTCTGCACTTGTGAGACCACCTCTGGAGTATTACATCCAGTTTGGGGCTCCCCAGTGCAAGGGAGATGTGGACACACTGGAGCAGAGTGAGTTCAGTGAAGGGCGAGCAGGATGGCTGCGTGGCTGGAGCACGGGACGTATGAGGAGAGGCTGAGAGACCTGGAGTTGTTCAGCCAGGAGAAGGGAAGGTTAAGGGAGTTCTTAGTGCTGTCTACAAATACGTATTAGGAGGGTGCAGAGAAGATGGACTCAGGCTCTTCCTGCAGGTGCACAGTGACAGGACAAGAGACAATGCACACAAGATAGGAAATGGGAAATTCTCATCAGATATTATGAAAAAAATTCAACGCGAAGGTGGTCAAAAACTTGGATGGGTTACTTAGAAAGGCTATGAAATTTCCATCCTTGGAAATACTCAAATCCTGACTGAATGAAACCCTGAGCAACCTTATCTAGTGTCAGAGTTGACTCAGTGTAGAGTGGTTGGTTACAATGGATGACCTCTAGAGGTCCTTCCAACCTATATTATTTAATGATTTTGTGATTCCTAACACTGAATTATTACATGTGTAAATACCTGGATTACAGATATAGGACAAGTGAATAAAGGAAGGGTAGCAGGACCTCATGAGAGGAATTTTCAGATGCATTATGGACAATGAATAAAAAACACAGAGGGATGACCGAAGACAATGAAATAAGATTACGTAAATTTAGAAATATGAATTTGCTATACCTACTATAGAAAGTCCTGTAAAGTAAAGTCGTATCAGTAGGCTGTGTTACAGAAAGAAACCCTAGAGCTCAATGGCAGTGATGATGAGGT